GTACACGTCATAAGAAGTAGCCGTAGCAACTGCACTCCAGGTTAATGTAGTAGTTGTCTGCGTACCAATCGTTGATGCGTTTGCAGGCGAATGTATTGGTAGCACATACAGGAACTGGTATCGCTGCTGTTGTGAAGGTTGTTTTGTTTGTTGCATCACAACCTACTGCAGGACCGCTGGCATTCTTCGGAACCACATACCAGTTGTACAGCGTTGAAGCAGTTAAGCCGGTAGCACTGTAGGTAGCAGCAGTTACATTGGCCGTTGGTGTCACCGGCGCAGTAGCACCGGTCCAGATGTACACGTCATAAGAAGTAGCCGTAGCCACAGCACCCCAGGTGAGGGTAGCAGTTGTCTGCGTACCAATCGTTGATGCGTTTGCAGGTAATGTATTGGTAGCACATACAGGAACTGGTATAGCAGCTGTTGTAAATGTAGTAGCATTGGTCGCATCGCAACCCACTGCTGGACCGCTGGCATTCTTCGGAACCACATACCAGTTGTACAGCGTAGAAGCAGTTAAGCCGGTAGCACTGTAAGGTAGCAGCAGTTACATTCGCTGTTGGTGTCACCGGCGCAGTAGCACCGGTCCAGATATACACATCATAAGAAGTAGCCGTTGCAACAGCACCCCAGGTGAGGGTAGCAGTTGTCTGCGTACCAATCGTTGATGCGTTGGCTGGTAATGTATTGGTAGCACATACAGGTAACTGGTATAGCAGCTGTTGTGAAAGTTGTTTTGTTTGTTGCATCACAACCCACTGCAGGACCGAAGCATTCTTCGGAACCACATACCAGTTGTACAGCGTAGAAGCAGTTAAGCCGGTAGCACTGTAAGTAGCAGCAGTTACATTCGCTGTTGGTGTCACCGGCGCAGTAGCACCGGTCCAGATATACACATCATAAGAAGTAGCCGTTGCAACTGCACCCCAGGTGAGGGTAGCAGTTGTCTGCGTACCAATCGTTGATGCGTTGCTGGTAATGTATTGGTAGCACATACAGGTAACTGGTATAGCAGCTGTAGTAAATGTAGTAGCATTGGTCGCATCGCAACCCACTGCTGGGCCGCTGGCATTCTTCGGAACCACATACCAGTTGTACAGCGTAGAAGCAGTTAAGCCGGTAGCACTGTAGGTAGCAGCAGTTACGTTGGCCGTTGGCGTCACCGGCGCAGTAGCACCTGTCCAGATATAAACATCATAAGAAGTAGCCGTTGCAACTGCACCCCATGGTTAAGGTAGCCGTTGTCTGTGTGCCGATCGTCGATGCGTTTGCTGGCAATGTATTGGTAGCGCATACTGGTACCGGTATAGCAGCTGTAGTAAATGTTGTTTTGTTTGTCGCATCACAACCTACCGCGGGACCGCTTGCATTTTTTGGAGTCACGTACCAGTTGTACAGGGTACCTGCAACCAGTCCAGTCGCATTGTAAGTAGCGGCAGTTACGTTGGCCGTTGGCGTTACTGGAGCGGTAGCACCGGTCCATATATATACGTCATAAGAAGTAGCCGTAGCCACAGCACCCCAGGTGAGGGTAGCAGTTGTCTGCGTACCAATCGTTGATGCGTTTGCAGGCAATGTATTGGTAGCACATACAGGAACTGGTATAGCAGCTGTAGTAAATGTTGTAGCATTGGTCGCATCGCAACCCACTGCTGGGCCGCTGGCATTCTTCGGAACCACATACCAATTGTACAGCGTTGAAGCAGTTAAGCCGGTAGCACTGTAGGTAGCAGCAGTTACATTAGCCGTTGGTGTCACCGGCGCAGTAGCACCTGTCCAGATGTACACGTCATAAGAAGTAGCCGTAGCAACTGCACCCCAGGTTAATGTAGCAGTTGTCTGCGTACCAATCGTTGATGCGTTTGCAGGCGAATGTATTGGTAGCACATACAGGAACTGGTATCGCTGCTGTTGTGAAGGTTGTTTTGTTTGTTGCATCACAACCTACTGCAGGACCGCTGGCATTCTTCGGAACCACATACCAGTTGTACAGCGTTGAAGCAGTTAAGCCGGTAGCACTGTAGGTAGCAGCA